GAGAGGTGGAAATGAAATGGCAAGATGTGAGGGTGATTGGGGCACCCTCATCGTTATTTAAAGGGGTATTACACAGTCCAAAATTGCCCCTGGATAAATAGAGCGAACCACCTAACCCTAAGGCATTATGGTCCAACTCTATCTTCTGTCGATCAGACGGCCACGCTTCCTGCACAGATCTGCTTCGCCTCGACGCAACCTCTGTGATTCCGCCACGTGCCGCCCCGTTCCTCCTCGGAACCTCTGCCCGGGTTTTGAGGCCCAAACCCGAAAACCGTCCGCCGATGGTTTTGCGGCCCAAACCACCAAACCCACTCGCGAGTAGCGTACTCCATACGAGTCCCCCGCTTCTCGACACGTGTCACCGCCGTCCTCGACCGCCCGGCCGCCAAGTCTTCCAGAGCCTCTGCTCGACTTGCATGTCCGTCGTCTTGACTCGGTCAACGCGGTCACTCCTCCATGTACAATTGCGCTTGTCGATGTCCCCAGGTGTCAGCCACCGTGGCTGGTCCTCCGGCGCGTCCGTCCTTCACCGCTCCCGGTCTATCAGCACGACCCGTCTCTACTTGACCTTCACCTCGCCATCGACCACCGCCTCCGAGCTCCACACCTGCGCACCACAAGCCAAGAGACATGTTGCACAACCCAACTCACGCCAAGGTTAGTTCACCAACTCAACCCAAGACGCGAATCACGTTGACAATCACTCATCACACAAGACCACATGGGCACATATCAACCATGTGTCCGCATATTTGATACCAGCCAATGGTATAACAACTGTATTCTATCTGCTGTAGTTTCAGTGTTTGAATGAGGCTGGTAGGTACTTATCTGAAAGCTAGATTGTCAATAGTGAAATATGTTCATTTTTCTCTTCCCAAGAACTGTTTGGCACACATTTACCCATATTGGAGGCAATATATACAGCAATGAAATATCTAGCATAAGTTGATTGATATGTTTTTCTGTGAGTGCTTTGGTTTATGTGAGCTTAAATTCTGTGATCTTAGGGCAATTAATTTGTGTGGATTATGCACTGCTTCATATTAGGGATTTTAAAAGTTTTTGATCGATTTAAGCCAGATGAGAAATGACGCATGTACCCTTCGTTAAAGCCGACTCCGATCCCAACATTACATTAAAGGCAGTTTTTTATTGGCTCATGTAACAGTATTTAATGCTAAGGGAGTAAAAGTTTATTCTTGGAAAGTAAAAATGGTCTTAATTCTCCCAAAATCCCTTATATTATGCTGTTTTCTGAAATAAAAGACATGGTGTACTGCTTATGTATTACTGTCATTTTAAACAAAGCCGCTTATGTCTTTTATTGTTGTTTTCTCTATGTACTTGTAGTACGTATTTGTAGTGCGGCTTTGTTTTGCGCTCATTTTCACTGTCATTTTAAACACTGATTGTTTACGACACATCTAAGGTGCATTGAAAAGTGTTTGTTTTTTCTGTATTAGTTGTGCTACAACATCTGGCTTGCTGTAGTACTTCATTGCACATAACTGTTTATAGGGTTTTACTTGTCATTATTCGTTATTATGTTCCCTTTGAAGTTGTCTAATAATATTTGTTGACAGGGGACGTGCAGGATTTGGGATGCCAGATACTCTCAACAACCTCCACGACTGTATACACCAAAGCCCCCAGATGCTGCCCCAGGTTAGTTAATTGAAGCATGCATAGTGCATTAGTAATGTCGAATTCTGGATAATCCAATCCATGTGGTGTTGAATTGTTGATGCCAGGTAAGAGCGGTGATGCATCTTCCAGCGCTGCTCAAGTTCAGCCAACAAATCACCAAATCTTATGTTGCGCATTTAGTGCAAATGGAACCGTGTTTGTCACTGGCAGCTCGGACACTTGCAAGGGTGTGTTTTTCTTCTTACCTCAGTTGTCGATTTCTTATCTAATTATGGAAAATTGCCCTTTTTCATAAAAAAAAAGTTCATTCAGGTCTGGAATGCTTGCAAGAGTTCTTCTGATGAACATGAACAACCGAATCATGAGATGGACCTATTATGTGGGCATGAAAATGATGTAAACTATGTGCAGTTTAGTGGATGTGCAGTGGCATCAAGATCTTTTTCATCTGATTCCAATCATACCTCTAAGGAAGAAAATAACATGAAGTTAAGAAATTATTGGTCAGTATTTTGTTTGTTCTTATGTTTTGTTTTCTCCTTCTAAATGTTCTTATTTATTTCCATTAGGCATTAGCAGCATCAGTTCTTATTTGGTGACCCAAAGATTTCCTTTTTTCTTCAGTCAGTTCTTAGTTGTTCACCTTAATCACCAATTCACCAGTGTCCAAATGCTGTCATTTTTTGCTTCAACAATCCTCCGTGAGCTAAGTTGGTCTCTTTTTGCTAGGTTCACGCATAATATTGTTACCTGCTCCCATGATGGCAGTGCAATTATATGGGGTTTCACCACGCTTTACGCTTTTCTGCCACTGGTTTCGATGCTTGATACAAGCTGGCAGTCTCATACATGTCTTTTGTAGTCATACGCAAGTCGTTATGCTGCTATTGCTTTATGGTGGTGGACTGGTGGTTGGTTGCTGATTTTTTTTTTTTTTGAAAGAGATTTCAGAATTTTAGTTTCCTGTTGGTAAACTAGGCTAATATATGGAAGTAATCCTAGAGGCTGGAGCCATGTTATGTGAGTATACAGGGGTATGTTCATTGCATTCTGAATCTGAATCCTTTGGATTGGATGTATGCAAGCATCGTTATTGTTTTGTGCGCCATGTTATAACTTATAAGCATCATGTCGGTTGTTACCATCAGTAAGGATGTTAACTGAATTTATGTGTTGTGTTGATCGTCCAATGCGGATGTTCACAATGTCGGTTGTTGCCAGCAGTAAGGATGTTAACTGAATTTCTGTGTTGTGTTGATCGTCTAATGCGGATGTTCCCTAAAGTGATGCTGTACAAAGGTTTTGCGTACTGGACCTTTCATCGGCAATGGCAACGGTCCAGCCTGTATCAGTACCAGCCATCTTCCGATCAATTTTTGGAAGTAAAAAGCGGACTACAGAAGTGCACGAGCCCCTGAACAATTGCCAACAACCAAGATGATGATTTTTTTTGGAAGTACTCAATTTTATCTTTCAATGTGATTGGAACGCAATCAATTGACACAGAACGGTACATCTCCATTTCTCAGTCTGAAGCATGTGAAGGTTTTGAAGGGCGCCAGAAGGGAAATGTCACCATGGAGGAACTGGAACGTAATACTATTCCTGAAAATCTCTGAAGTTGGCACAGATTGATATCAAAGGAAATGCAGCTGCCAGGAACATTCCTTACCAAAATGGTTCAATGGTGAAATGTTCACCTGAGAGTTGTGCAAATTTGCAGTGTAAAAGTTCACCTGAGATTATTAATATATTTCTGGTAAAGTCAAGATTCGAGACTTGGGTATCAGAAACACACCAGCTTGTATAATAACTTGGAGGATATGACTGAAAAATGATAATGGTTCACAATCACAACACTAATCGCGGAAAAGAACACAACTAATGTAGTCAACCTTTCAAAAGGATGCAATAAAAAAAAGATCGATTGTTTCTTATTTTCCTAATGATAGGAAGAAAAACTGTGAAATAACAGAAAATTTGACCAATAAGTCATTCTGCCTGCCAGCATCTTCATGTTCCATTTCCTCGATAACGTGTTAGTGTGCACCGAAACGGTAATGAGACAAGCCAGATAATCATCCATAGTCTATATGACTATATATAACAATACAATACAATGATAAAGCACCAATTGATTTTAATCAGACTGAAGGAAGGCTTGGCCATCATTCTATCATGCAATATGATCCTGCAGTCCCAGGCATCTTTTATAATGGCTCACGGGAAATTGTCTCCACCCCTGAAGCCCGACGAAGCTCCAACTTCGTTTCAATGACGGGAGCAGCAATGACATGAAGATCGAGAAAAGACGGTGAGAGAGAAAACATGCTTTTTTTCTTGGATCCAGGTTCTATAGGTGAGAGCAACTTGTCGACCCTAAAGTGTGAAGGAGCAAGTCTTATCACACTAAAAATAGGTTGGAGTAGGTCCTATCCTCACATTAAATATATAGGAGCAGTATAGATACGTCCATTACGAACGCTCTTAGGTCTCCTTAAAAATGAAAGATTTTTTTTTCCTACAGCAGCCCTAAAAAGATTGCTCTCTCTCTCACGAAGCGGAGACTCAGACTGCACTAGAAAATTTTAACCGCCACGCGTGGACTCTATTTTTTGACTGGATTCTCTCTTGATTGAATTAGCTTTATGCAGTCGTTTGAGTCGGTTTACAGCAAGGACGATGATTCGGTTTCAAAGACTACCGGAGCCCTGATACGGGCAGTCGTTTGTCAAATAGCCTGCATGAAAAGAACTGCCATGTACACAGAGATGATGGCAATAAATCAGGATTTGATAAACCTGCTTAACTGAAATTGCAGAGGCAAGCTATTCAAACAAAAGCACCATCTCCCTTAGAATGCATGGATAACATATTTTACAGCAGGTCGCGCAGTGCAATAATCAGATGAAGCATTCATCAGCTAGATTTTTGGGTGCTCCAGTGGTGATGGGTCGCAGTCTAGACACATATGTACAAATCACCATACAAGTGGGTCAGTGGTGTCCCCATGACTTTGTAAAGATAACTCATCAGCAATGCGCAAAATGCTGGTGCTGTCTGCGTCTGATTTCCGCCTGCCAGTACAAGTAGAAGTGCCTAGTGACGCTAAACCTGTGGAATTTCAACCGCTTCCACAAGGCAAAATGCAAAATACCGCATGACTAACTGAACCTCAGCTAAATTACTCAGTTTCATCCTCTGAGTCAGCAACAACCTGTGCAAGATCACCTTCAGAGCCAGAGAAAGTAGTGTCAGGCTGCTTGGAGACAGGCGTGGGCCTTTGCCTCAGTGTTTTCTTCGTCATTGGTGGAGGGGTGATCTGACCTGGATGCATAGTCCCTTCATCATTCTTCATGTTTCTGACTCCGACGGAGCCCTGGCCGAGGCTTGTCATTTGCCAAACGGGCAGCAAGACAGGTTCTCTTGCGCGGTACAAACACATCCTCCTCTTCCATGTCGCTCTTGTAGGAATCAGAAGCATTATTTTCTCCGTCATTGTCAGCAGAGCTGGCATCCCTGTCATTATAGTCTCTGTCTTCCTCATCACCAGAGCTCAGGTCACTTAGATACTTGGCATCCTCCTGTCCTCCATTTTTGTTGTTTTCAGAACTGATGTCAGATCTGTCTCCATGATGTGAAGCACGTTTCTCTTTTGTTCCTGCCTCATGTGAATCTTGTTCTTTTTCTTTCCTAAAAAAGGTACAGTACAAGTCTTTTCAAGAAGAATACTCTGTAGTTAACTAATAAAGGAACAATTGATAGAATTTCAAAAGATCATTTAGACATGAACTTATTGAGATTGCAATCCATAGTTCATATGTGATATTTCTTTGATGTTAAAAAGGCAACCTCAATTCCCACTTCCCAGAATTTTCTATACATATTTTATCCCCAAATATCCATCAAAAGTATGTGTCATGCTTTTACTATAAGAAGACAACAGGTGCTGATAAAAAAAAGGGCGTACCCAGTGCAAAGAGCTCCCGCTCTGTGCGAGGTCTTGGGAAGGGTGTCAGTGGCAAGCCTTACCCTCGCCTGTGCAATGCGAGAAGACCGCGACTCGAACCCGGGACCTTCCGGTCGCAGGCGGTAAGACTCTACCGCTTGCACCAGGACATAACAGGTGCTGATACTATAGATAAAATACTAGGGAGTGCTGGAATGGCCCGAACTTACTGTACAGCTCTTATCGCCTCCTCAATAGAACGATCATAATCAGCTGCACAAAAGATATCCAAGATTAAGAAAAAGACAGTTGGTCACAAAAATGTCAATTTTATTCAAGCGTTTTTTGAACCCAATCAGAATAGATATTGGCAGCAACATGCAACAGATACCACAGATATTATTCTGTGTTGCAGTAAGAATTGTCTACATCACAGACTCACAATTAATGGTTAAAGATAGTAGGAGCACGTTAATTTGGATGCATTTATAGAATGCCAATGGGATTCTGATCTGACAGAAGAAATGAGGGATGGAATTGCCACATGACATTCAGCATAACCATCAAGCTGACAGTTCACACCCCAACGATTCTTGGCCAGATAAAAGTGACCATAGTAAGTTTGAATGTTTGATGGCCTTTTGTGTTGATGAAATGATCAATAAAGAAGCTCCTTACAGAAATTGTAGCTGACAGGCCTACATTCACGCAATGAACGGGTTTGGAAAGTGTTAGCAAAAGCTAAAACTTTGTCCTTCTCCTGACGTTTTAAAAGCCTCTCTTTTTTCTGTAGAGATAAATCAGATAAATCAGCAGCACGAAAACAATACTTCATGCGAAGGATAATGCAGCTATTTCGAATATTATAAGCATATGTGTTTTTAACACCTCTCGTACTAAATACTAATTACAAAAAACATAGGTGGAAATAGATAGGAACTTAGGAAAAGTATCAGTGGGTGTCTACCTTTTGAAACTTCTCCACAGCTGGAACAATTTCAGTCTTAAGATGCTCTGCGATAGCAGATTCAGCATGACCCTTTCTGGATAACTTCTCCTGTCAACATCTTATGTCAAATATAGTAGTAAAAATATAAGAGCACATCAAATATATATAAATAAGCAGAAGCCCTTACTGATATTTCAAGAAACTCGTCAAGGTTAGTTGCAACTGTTTCCCAGTATTGGTAACTGGTTTTGTCAATCGGCGCAGGCGCCTTTCTTTTTGGTACCCACTCACCCAATGACACGAATAGTTCAGTTCAAATAAAAACGACATGAATTGATCAAACAGAAAAGGAAATAGATAAGATCATCTGTCAAACATACACAAAGTTCCAGATTTGGTGCTGCGACTACTATGACACCCTTTCACTTATTTCATAGTCATCTAGCGCTGCCACTACTACAACACCCCATCACGCTACTACAACACCCCATCACGTCTCAGTTCGTGGTACCAAGTATCAACAAATCGGGTACCACTTGATGTTCACTTCAACTTGATCATCATCGACTTCTCTTTCTTGACTCATAATTTCATGGGTGAATTCTAGACTGAATTTTAAATTCTTGTCCTGCTCTTCTTGACTATCACATGTTGTGATTACTGTCAGGTCCACTTCTATGTGGAGTTCGAGCTGCCAACGACATGGCACGGCAACCATAGACGGACTCAACGGAAGAATGGATGTGGAGCCAGAGGGAAAGGACAAGCTCGTCCCTCGTTCACAACTGAAGAGGTGGACACTTTTGTTCCTATAGTCAGTGGCGCTTGCCTTGATCTTACCATAAACGGCACGGCTCCTAGAACCGAGGTCTTTCAACTTTAACTTAACCTCAACATTGGCCTCAATGGCGTTGGGAATCACCAAGTATGTGATCTCCAACTTGCAGCCAGGTCCTGCACAGATGGTTCGTGTGTATTCCTCAATTTCATCGTCGACTAAAACATCCCAGTCCTCTGTGATGGGAGGACCAGACTCATTGTCAGCATAAACTTCCAAGCTGAAGTAACCATAAGCCATGAGAATTCTACGGGGTCCAATGGGCACCAAATCGACCATTCCTTCCAGCACGTGCAAGCATGAATGTGAAGGGTTTTAATTTATTACAATATGTATCAGTATGTACGAGACATAAAGCGTATAGTAGATATAATATAAGGTAGCTAGTATATACCTCTTGTACTTCCCCCTCGCGCTGCACGTAGATGCACCGACCTTGGTGCCAGTCATAGCCGTAGATTTCGCAGATAGGGAAGTTTGCACAAATGGCCAACAATTGCACCGCACGTTGGCCAAGCCGCTCATGTTGGCGTGGTTCACGTTGGCCAAGTATAGCACGTTCTTTGGACATCATCATCTCCTGCATAGTAATATATGTTACCGATTAACGAGGTAAGCTGAAGGACAGGCGGCGGGAGGAAAGAGAGGGGCGCGCACCGGGGAGGGGGGGTTCTGAGACGGCGATGGGCCTAATCCTACTGGCGTTAGGAGACGATGAAAAAAAAACTCGACCCACGGGGTAAGACAGCCCCAGCCATTGTGGTTAAGAAGAAGACCTTCTCACGTGGGTCGAGAAAACCCGCAAACCTGTCCCACCCGTACGCAGCGGCACCACAGCAACTCCCGTGAGACTGGGCTGGCCTTAGACCTGTGCTTTGGCGTGGCGCAGACGAGGGGATTTTTTTTCAACGCAGATAAACTGCGCCTCCTCTCGCCAACAAATCCGCCACCGAAGGGGTTCGAACTCTGGCCGGCAGGGTGCAAAGCGCACAGCCAGACCAACTGGTCTAGCGTTCGCTTGCAGGAAAAGTGAAGCGAGGAGAGGGGGAATCCGAGATGGCGAAGGGCCTAATCTGACCTGGCGGCAGGTGGAGACGTGGAGGGTCAGCGGCGCGGAGACTGAGGGTCGGCGCCGTTGGGGCGGAGATGATGCGGACCGCCGCCGTCGAGTGGTGCCGATGAGGACCGGAGGGCGCCGCCGTTCGGCAGTAAGACCGGGAGGACAGAAGGGTGCTACACTGCGGGGGTGGACGGAGAACAATATGCAGCGGTATGAAGGCACGCCCCTACAAGCGTCGATCTAGAACGATTACAATCAATTTCCCACGCTTGCTCGAAATCAGGGGAGAGGATCGTTTGGAATCAAGACTTGCTCGAAATCAAAGGAAGGGGGACATTTGAAGTTAACTTGGCTCGAAATCAAGGGATATACGAAGAAATACCTGGAATCCCGATGGAGGAATAGTTGGAACTTGCAGCCTCCCCAAATTGCACGAACCCTAGCTCGTCGCTACCTCGGTGGAAGAATAGGCTCGGCCGCGCCGACCGCCTCCCCCGACCACCTCTCCCTCTTTATCCACTCGTAGATGGGCCGGGCCTTAGAGTGTTGAGCTGCGAACTATAAACTATACATATATTTTGGGAGCTATCAGGTCCGAGTTTCAAAAGTTATTGGGTTTTAGTCAAAGCTAGTCATATGCAATGGTGATTAGAACAATAAATTTTCCGCTCCAATGACGAGGGCATTGCCTGTGTTTTTGTTGTTTTAATTAAATCATCAGATAATCAGATACTATCCCTTCAGACAAACCACCTTCAAAAGGGTAATGTGGATGCGAGCTAGGTAGCGGTTGTTGGACGCGAGGGCCATTTCGATCTCATCCGCGGAGAGCCGCAAGTCCGCCTCGATCACCGGCTCAAACACCTGAGACCCAAGCAACCAAAACCAGAATCACACCCAGCGCGGGCCAAAAGAAAGCCGAATCGGCTCATGCGATCCGCGGATCGAGAGAGGAAGAAGAAACCCTAGGCTCACCCTGAGGAAGTTTAGCACGGAGGCGAGTTCCCAGCGGCGGCGGAGGAGGACGACGGGGTTCTCAGAGGAGGCGGCGGCGGCCTCTTCGGGAGCCGGCGTGCTCGGGGGCTTGGTCGGCGACGAGGCCTTGGCGCAGCTTCGCCGGCGAGCCATTGGGGAGAGAGAGCGGTGGGTGGGAAGGGGAGAAATTTTTGTGGGCGTGAGGTGGGCAGGAGTTGGTTTAGGGGAAGGGAATGCTTGAGCGGCGGGCGGTGGCGAGCGAGAAGGCACTGGGGGGCTCCGGTCTCGGCGGTGGAAACGGTTTTTATCACTCGTGCGCGGAGGTCCTGTCATGGGCTTGACCGCGGTTGGGCGTGCTAACATTCAGGCCCAACGTTAATCGTGTATGAATGATGCAGCACGATAGGAAGTTTATGGGTACTTGATAGGTGGTTTAGGTTTCACATAATCACATCTAAATATCTAATCAACAAAATCGTTTGGTTCGTTTCAATGCCATCTAAACGCTACGTAGTGGCACGTTGTTTCCATTTAATTGTCCATTTATTCTAGTTGATTAGTGTTTTGCCATAAATAATGCATAAACGGTTCGTGGCCGGTAGTTTTAGCATTTACTCCCTCAATCTCAAATTATAAGTCATTCCAAGAATCTTGGAGAGTCAAAGTATCTCAAGTATTACATCAGCGTAAGCATTGAGCTTGGCTGTCTCTTGTAGGTGTGACTTCCCTGCTGACGCTTCAGAGCCCCGACAACTCGATTCAGCCAGATTTCTACACAAATCAAATTTCAGATTTTCTCACCCTGTCTAAATGAAGAGCCCCGCCTTCCATTTGCATAGGCAGCATCGAGCATTTTTTTTAACAAATAAGGAAACACAAAGGAGATCTTCTCGGCATCGCCCTGTTCGTCCACTGCAACGAAGAAGTATTTGTGTGCAAATTTTACACTTCCAGTTATTGGCTCTGGCTATGTTTTGTTGGTGAACTGAAAAAGCTTTGGAAATATTGCAATTTTTCCTATGTTGTCTTCCTAGCAAAGTGCAGTGCAGACTGCAGAGTGGTAATTTTAGTTTTGACAGTTTCTACAATCTGAAAATTATTAATATGGAGAGGAATGGTTATTGCCCTTGTCATGGTTTATTCTATATATTTCTCTGTAAATGGACCATTCCTTTCCATTTTATTTTTCTAATATATGATGGTTGTTTACACGTACATTCCTGAAATCAAACCGTGGCGTTAGCACCAAGAATATAGTTTACAGAGACCTCCTAAATTGGTGATTGACGGTGTGATTACTACTTTTAGTCTGCTTAGACTATAATATTTTATTTTTACTCATCTTCCATAATCATAAATCATGATGAAGTCCCCGACCACAACTCGCAGACTAAAAGTAGTAATACAGATAGTTGTATGTTATCTTTAAGATGGTATACAAGGACAAACGTTTTTTGAAGAATAATCATGACGGAGACGTTTGCGGAGAAACGTCGTAATGAAAATTGTATTAAATATAAATATTAGAAGTGTACTTATCTTTGGATAGAAATCTGGTCGATGGCGATGAAGTTGTCCGGTCCTCGAGCTTTCCAACCTGTCGTCATGACGGTGGTCGTGGTTGTCGTAGGGCCGTTCTTCGCGGTGATCATCATTGCGACGTGGTCTGGTGGTCAATGTGATCGGAACTCGGCGGAGCCACTCGGGACGTGGTTGGCGTGGTCTATGGTCGACGTGGTCCCGGCGGAGCCACTCGGGACGTGGTCCGTGGTCGGCGTGGTCGGAGATCGGCGGAGCCACTCGGGACGTGGTCGACGTGGTCGGAGCTCGGCGGCGCTGCTCGGGACGTGGTCGTGGTCGACGTGGTGGGTGCGCAGCGTCGCCGTAGTCGAGCGGGTGTAGTCAGAGCTGGTCGGAGTCGATCCCTGTGTAGTCGCCCGAGCACAAAGAGTCGTGCATAGAGACGTGACATGTCGCTGCTTGTAGGTTGATGCAAAGGTACAAAATCATGTATGTATAAACGTCCCAACAAGCTTCTTGTGTCGTCATTAAGCATGCATGGTGATGTAGATTGGATCCGTTATGCAGCTTTTTGACGTGGTCGTTGTGTTTTGATGTTGTGAGTCCAATCTGACTCATGAACATGATGAAGCAACTCCCGTACAACCGCCCAAGATCGAACGATGTTGTATGCCTACTTGTGTAGGAGCACCTTCCCGACAACGATGACTTATGTGAGCGACTGGATGTACGAGGTCGTCGTCGAGAACATGCCATTGATATTAAAGATTCCCATCTGATTCGCCGGAAGATCAGCACGTACAACCCCTAAAGGGGACCCCTACCTGGCGTGCCACTGTCGACGAAATATAGTCGGCAGTCCACCGAGAGGGGTGCCCGTGGTGGTAGATTATCGCGGGGCTATACTGATGAAGATGTCCAAACCAAAGACGGATACAAGAAGCGGAAGCGTGCACTCGAGGATGACGTACGTAACAATCTCTCAAGCAACTCAAATATCCTCTCATATTTTCTACCCGTATGGCCCATTGCATACTAAATGTAAAAAGAATGGCGTATAAAACTGATATTATATATTGCATATGCAGATCATTATAAAGGATGGAAATGAAGTACAGTACAAAGATAATGATGTACAAACGCCACGGCTAGAAGCCAATAAAAATCCAATACATGTTCTCAGTGAGATGATGGTGTTGCTTCAGTATAATAAGCCAAAGAAAGTAAACAATGTACAAGTCATGCCTCAAGGTGATCCACCATCAATTTAAACCTATATGTCTTTAAATTTAGGAATTAATTAATTATTAATAAAAAATAATATCTCTCTAGATTATGCGTGTACGCAACAAGATGTTGAGGTAATTGAATATATGAAAGGAAAAAGTAAAAAAGCATCTGCTTGTCAGAATCGATGATTGTTGGGGAGCAAGAGATGACATGGATTGTCTTTTTCTTGGGAATGAGCAAGTCAATGGTGCGGTAAGTGTGACAGAACCTCCTAAATTATAGGACCCACATGCACTTGTCACTGTCCAACGACCTTTGACATCTATGCATATGTTTCTGGTAACTTAAGAAGACTGTCGGGTGTCCTCGGGGAACCCCGAATCATCCACGATTTCCGAGCAGGATCACATTACAGAGTCATTGCAGTATTACAACAGTTTATTCAAATAGATATACCATAGTAAAAACAGCGAAAGTCTTACAATAACATAGTTTACAAACCGTTTGTTTCAAACCATACAACTAAGTTCGATTAATATTACAAAACGTAGTAGTGGAGTGGTATTATAACATATTACAGAACACACAAATAAGCTGCCCTGCCCAAGGGCCATGCATTTACTTATCGTCATCGCACTGAACAACAGTCATGCAGCACGATCCAAAACAGATCTACTCATGAGCCTCACCTGCAACAAGGGTCAACGAACCCTGAGTACAAAAGTACTCAACAAGACTTAACCGAAATAAGAATTTAAAAGAACGTAGAAATGCAGACTCATGGGATTCAAGGTACGGCTTTAGCAATAATCAAGGTTCTTTTGCGTAAAAGCATTTTAACAAAATTCTTTATATCAACGTTTAAAACTTCATAAGATCATATACAAAGCTGACACGATCCGAATTGAGATCATAAAACTTTGTATCCAACACCTTCACAGACCATCCTCAGGTTCCAGTTATTTATTACTACGATGATAAACAGTGAGTTGAGTCTCCATAACCGAGGAGCAACGACGATTCGAACCGATTAAAAACCTAGCTGGGAATTCCAGACCACACGACATATGCAGGTCCTCGACCTACATATACCAACCTACCCTCGGATCCTCTAAAACAAGAATGGGTCCGCGCCACCCGAGAATATAGTACTCCACCAATCCAGCCCATTGCCACGTGGGTACACGCTATTTCCGCCATCTCTCCACTTCCAGTGCATGAGTAGCCATTCTCGTAATAGAATAGCCAAGTTAAGGCTTACCGGAGTATGTGGTTAGTACTACAAAGTCTCACATCATGCAATTCAACAACGGTACGGACCTTAATCGACACAGGCGAAAAGAACCCGCTCATAAGACCTCCATGTCTTGTGGCTCACACACACCGAGTCCGTCCGGTCTAGATTTATTACTCCACATTCCCATATCACATGTTAACATAATTAACCAAAGTTCCATTTAAAACTTGTAGGTGACAGGTAATCACCCGACTCTCATCGTTCTAAGCATAGCTAAGCAAAACTAGGCATATACGAATTTAAAACTGGTAATATGGTAAATATGGAATAGCAAGGTTGGTAATGTACCAATTTGGTTTTCACTTGACTCCTAATCACTTAATGCAGTAAAAGAAGCAAAAGCGAAATCAATTTGTAAAATACAAGGTAGGGTTGTATGCATCCGGGGCTTGCCTTCGTTGACGGAAAAGGCCGGGTCTAGAGTCATTCCACCGATATCAACACCAACTTCCACAGACGGATCAACCTCCTCAACTACTTGATTAACTACCACGTGTTCACCTTCGTTCACTACACGTAGTAACAATTCCATGTTTAACATGATGCGGATACAAAATATGATGCTCGATGATGGATGCAAAACTTAACAACTTGAATACAACTTTCCTTCGCGGTACAGTTACAAGTTAAACTAACTAAACCATTTTCGCAACACTCACAACAATTGCCAAGGATCATCACCAACTAATGACCCAAGGACATCACTTAATCAAAAACTCAAACAAAACCTAAATCACGAAAGGTTACTATTTGCTTTTCTGAATTAATTAATTAATTAATTAATAATTATGAAATAAATCAACTTATTCCAATTGATCTCAAAATTTTTGTATATGTTCATCATATGAAAACAAAGTGACAAAACAATTTTCATAATTTTTAGATACATAAATAAGCCTAGAAAAATCCTAGAAACTCATTTATTAATTAATTAAGCAATTTTTATCACATCCAAAAAGTACTAAAAATCAATATTTCATATTTTTCCTAAATAATACACATCACAGAGAAGTCACACAAAATTTTTCAGAATTTTTGGAGCTCTAAATAAATCTACACAAAAATAACAAAAACAGATACTATTCATTCAATTCTGAAAATAGAA